TTGGAGGGCTCCAGGGGGCAGAGGTTGTGCTTCTGGAGAGGAGGACTCTCCCTCGCTGCCACCAGCACCACCTCCCGTGGGCGTCTCGATGGACATCCGACCTGCTCCACCTATTGTTCAAAAAAAAAAAAAACAAGGTTTATTTATTTGTATTGGAAAGGCAGACTGGAATATAGAATGGGGGAGATAGAAGTTTATATTCACTCAATCACACCCCTAATAGCCAAAATGAACCAGGAGGTTCTTCTTGGTCCCCCAAGTGAGTGCAGCTCCCTGCCTGTGGCCTGGGAAAGCAGTTGAGGACAGCCCAAAGCCACCGGTCCACAGTGATGTGCACTACAGCAGAGATGCGTATTTCCGTATCCAATGTCCTCCTGACTTGTTACTGAGGACAAGAACCTCCCTCAAGAACCATAGGCTCTGGCATGATGGTGTGGACTCAAATAGCTACAGGTGGGAGCAGGGCAGCAAGCTCAGCTGTGGCCTAAACACTGCAGAGGAGAGAGGTGGGCCAGATATCTGGGGGTTCGTGTAGTGTTCAGGTCCACAGGGACCCCGGCCATGCCTTAATCTTTCAAAGCCACCTGTGCAAAATTTGAGTGAGCAGAAAGGAGATGAAAGGTGGAGGCCAACTGCAGAGGAGAGGACCTCTTTGGCCTCAGCTGGGAAAGCTGTAGGGATGGCGCCTTCCGATACATGCATACATACACACACATCCTGTTCTTCTCTTCCATGTTTCTGGGGGAAGGCACATGCCACTTAGTGAATGACCTTTTCTTCCAATTCTGATAGTAAAATGGATGCTCCACCAGAAGGAGCACTGTTCTTTTGTCTTGCAACCTCCTGGCACACAACTGGAGTCATGCATGCTTCAGCTTAACCAGGCAGCCATGTCTCCTTGGAGTGCCTTTGGGAAGTTACATGGAAACATAACTTTAGAGAGTAATCAAGGTCAACCCCAGGAGTGACAAATGGCTCACAATGGCCATGAAGGGATGATGCTCCAAGCCAGGTGCAGGGCGCACAATGTGCATGTCCTTCTAACACACCAGTCCCATGGATACCATTGTCAAATGTGCAATGGAACGCAGACCTGCTGGTGTTGTGCACCTGTCCCAGGTTCACAGCACAAGGTCAGAATGTGGAGTCACAGAGGTGGCCTAGATGGGATCTCCAGGAGCCTCACATTACATGAGTGACAGTATCACGCCAATGACTTGGGCATTTCCAGGCTGATGTCTCTCTCCTGGAAGCTGTGGCATGGAGCAGTTCTTCTGGGAAAGTTGTCCAGGTCCAGGCCTTCAGCTTGCCTGAATCCTGGCCCTCAGACAGCAGCCTGAGTGGGGCTGGTAGCCTGGCAGACAGCAGCCTTTTATTAGACAAACTGCACAGCCAAATGCTCCAGCATTTCCATGGAATACAGTGGGTCTAGGGATTGGGAAGTGTTAGGGGTTTCCTCTGGGAAAGCCTTTCCTATACAGTGATGGAAAGTGATCATGGCCGAGGATGGCCCTGGGGTCTCCCCATTCAGGTGAGGCTGTCCTTCATCCTGCAGTCAGACTGGGGAAGGTAAGAAGCAGGCCAGGAACAGGGCAGTAGTGGTCTTTTTGTCTCTGTTCCCCTGTGTGGATTAGCTTTTTTGCCAAGAAGCCCCATGTGTAGACTTCCAGGGTTCTCCTTTAAACCCACCTCTGGCCTCATCTCTTCTAGGGCAGGACTCACTCCCTCCTCTGACATCTGGGCCTTCCTGCACTGTCCTCCTGCACACCCAGCCTCTATACACATGGAGCCTCAGGCTTGCCACGGATCCTGGGCAACATCTGGCCTCTCTGGGAAACAGGCCAGGCTCACCAAGCCAGAAGCTATGAATTCCATTTGGGCTTCCCGTGGTGGGTGTCAGGGATCCAAGGTTTTGGTCTTCCACATGCCACTTTTCAGAGTGCACCTCAGTAAGATGCTGGAATTGAAAGCTGCACCAGCACGGAAATGGGTAACCTGCTGTGGCCTGTGCATCCCAATGGGTTCTAACTACCTGCATCTGATACTTGCTCTCTCTGGACCTAAAATGAATTAGTTGAAGGTTGCTAAAGAGAACACTAGTTTTCTGTGTTTGAATCAAACTCTCACAGCATAAAAGCTTGACATACATTATAAATCCAAGAATTGCACACAGAAATCTTACACTGAGCCTTTCTTCAAGCCTCTCCAGGAAACACTGACACCCCTATAGTCAGCTCTTTTCTGCTCCAGCCAGCAGAGCCAGTAACCTGGACAGGGAGAGGGACTGGGGATGAAGTCCTGACAGGAAAACAGTAATGGTAGAAGTCTGGTCTCTGGAAGCCTTCCTTTACTACTCCTTTTACACTCCTCCCCCTCCAGTCCTTTAGCTAAACAATAGGATGCCAATGAGTCCAATTAGTCTAGGTGCCTTTAGCTGCAATCCCATTTCCTGAACTGCTCAGCTTAACGAGCGCTAATTAACTCCTCAGCCCACAACACTTTTCAACTTGTGAAATAACACCTGTCTCCTGTTGAACTCAAAATAACCAAAAATAGGAAAAGGAGTGCATAAATTATTTGTTATTTGGAACTATTTTAAGTTATCAGCAGTTATGTAGGAATAGACAGAGAAACTTTCTTGCAAACTTAGTGGGGTGTTAGTGTGATGTTCCTGAGAAGCCAAAATTGTTGGAAAATTTTTCCCCTTATATTTTCTTTACATGGAAGTCAAAGCTACAGTGAAAGAGGCAGAATCAGAGATGAAGAGATAGAGAGATAGACAGAAAGGCAGAGATGTAGCAAAACCAGTACTGACAGGGACATTCAGAACATTGAAAAATATCAAAATCAAAATCCCAACCATTTGATCATGGCTCATTGCTACTAAGAAACCATGTGAGCTTGAAGGCCAAAGGGCCATGTGACCTTTTGCACTGAGGAGCTCCAATTTTCATGAACCAAGGTCCACCCAAGTCTGGGTATCTCACAGGTGGCTCCAAGTAATTAGGTGGGTGGTAAACTTATGCACTGAACCAAAGAAGAGCCAGGCATGGGCTGTCCTGCCCAGATGGTAGGGAATTTGTGGTATTTCCCACCTCACCTTGCAAGCTACTGTGAATTACCCCTTTTCAATGTATAAAACCACGGACTGACTTAGGATTGGCCATAGGGGAAGACTATCGCAACAAAACAGTTCAGAAATAACACTGTACAATTATACTCAAATGATTCTCAATACAGGTAGCCCAGCTAAATCAATCAAACACTATTGTTTTAAACAAATAGTGCTCATCAAAATTGAATATTCATATGCCTTCCATCCCAAATAACTAACCTGCGTATGTACCTGATGTTATACACACAAAAAAATAAACAGTTCAGGATGAACCTAAATGTAAAAGCCAATAGTTACAACCCCACTTGTGAGACCCACATCTCACACGCCAGTGCCTGAGTTCAAGTCCCAGCGCCATTCCTAACTCAGCTTCCTGCCTGGCAGGCAACAGATGACTGCGTAAGTACTTGAATCCCTGTCACCCACAAGAGAAATCTGGATTGAGTTCCTGGCTTTACCCTGGCTGGGAGTGAACCAGCAGATGGAAGCTTTATCCCTTCTCTCTTTCAAATAAAATGAAAATAAGGGAAAAACTGAACTCAAAAGGAAATGCTCTATAACAAAAGCGAAAACCACAGAACTTCTACATGGAGAAAAAAAAAATGACTACAGCCACAGATAAGGAAAATGCTTCCTAAATGATACGAAAACTAAAATCCATCAAAGGAAAACAGGTTCTGCAAACCACTCTTTCAAGCAGATACTATCAGAAAAATGAAAACACAAATTACACACAAGAATAAAGTTTTTGTAAATCATGTGTCTGACTAAGGACTTGCATTTAGTATAACAAAGTATACTTTTCTTAAGAGTGTTCAAAGCCAACCCAACAAACACTCCACTGAGGAAGATGCACAAACAGCTAACATGAACAGAAACAATGCACATCATCAGTAGCCTTTAGGAAAATGCAAATTAAACTACAAGGAAATACCAGTACATACTTAATAAAATGGCCAGAACCAAAACAAGAGACAACACATGTTTGCCAGAACATGGAAAAACCGGAAGCCTCTACATTACTGGGGGGAATGTAAAATGGTTCAGCCACATATGTCCACACAAAGTGTTATACCTAAACAGGCATTACTATTATTCCTAACAGCCAAACACTGGAACAATCCATCGATCTTCAACTAGTAAACAAGTAGAAAGGTACGTAAATACAAGGAAAATACTATTCACCAATAAAAACAAATGAAGTGGGGCCCAACACAGTAGTCTAGCAGTTAATCCTCAACTGGCATGCTCCGGGATCCCACATGGGCACCATTCAGGCCCTAGCTGCTCCAGCTTCTCCCCCTTTCCTCCCTCCCCCAGCTCCCTGCTTGTAGCCTGGGAAAGCAGTCAAGGATGGACCAAAGCCTTGGGACCCTACACTCACGTGGGAGTCCCAGAAGAAGCTCCTGGCTCCTGGCTTCAGACTGCCTCAGCTCTGGACACTGCAGCCACTTGGGGAGTGAATCAGTGGATGTAAGATCTCTCTCTTTCTCTTTCTCTCTCTCTCAACTTGCCTTTCCAACATAAAATAATTTTGAAACATTCTCCCCCAAAAAAGTTTTATTTTTATTGGAAAGGCAGATTTACAGAGAGAAAGATTTTTTCATCCACTACTTCACCCCTCACATGGCCACAACAGCCGCAGCTGAGCTGCCAGAAACCAGGAGTTCCTTCCTGGTCTCCCGTGGGTGCAGGGTCCCAAGGCTCTGAGCTGCCCTCAAGTGCTTTCCCAGGCCACAGGCAGGGAGCTGGATGGAAAGTGAAACAGTTAGGATACAAACCAGAGCCCAAATGGGATCCTAGCACATACAAGGTAGGGATTTTGGCCCAATTTATCCACTTCTAAGAAAAATGCTGCAACTCACCATAATACTGACACCAGACTGGAATGGCTCTATGGGTAGAGAATTCTTTCATAGTGAGAATTCAAGCGACACCCAGTTGGCTGATATTCCAAGCAGATATTAACTTTAGACCGCTACTTTTCTTTGGTGACCATTTCAACACCTCCTTTGCTGCCAACAATCTGAATTAAAAAAAAAAAAAAGTAAAAATTAGTATTTAAGTAGAGTCAAGCATTCTCTGCTAAACACATAAATTACTCTGGGCTTCAATTTTAGATTTCAACAAATAAATGACAATAGTGACATCTGTAATATTTACAGGCAAACAAAAATATATAATGATTATTAAGGCTTCTTTGTTGCTTTTCTTGTTAAGACTTATTTATTGGGCCCAGCACGGTAGCCCAGTGGCTAAAATCCTCGACTTGTAGAAGCTGCTATAACATATGGGTATATGTTCCTATCCCACCAGCCCTGCTTCCCATCCAACTCCCTGATTGTGGCCTGGAAAAGAGGTCGAGGATGGCCCAAAGACTTGGGATCCTGCACCCACGTGGGAAACCTGGAAGAGGCTCAAGGCTCCAGGCTTTGGATCATGTAGCACCAGGCTTTGTGGTCACTTGGCGAGTGACTCATCAGGCAGAAGAACTTCTCTGTTTCTCATCCTCTGTGCATATCTGACTTTGTAATAAAAAAAAAAATAATCTTTTTAAAAAGATTGATTTATTTTTGGGCCCAGAGCAACAGCCTAGTGGGTAAAGTGCTCGACTTCCATACGCCAGGATTCTATATGAGCACTGGTTCATGCCCTGGCTGCGCCACATCCCATCCAGCTCCCTGCTTGTGGCCTGAGAAAGCAGTCAAAGACGGCCCACACCCTTGGGACCCTGCACCCATGTGGGAGACCTGTCAGAATTTCCTATCGTCAGACTAGCTCAGTTCTGGCCACTTGTGCAGTGATCCAGCTTACAGAAGATCTTTTGCTCTGTCTCTCCTTCCCTCTGTATATCTGACTTTCCAAATGAATAATTTAATTAAAAAAAAAACTTTATTATTTGGAAAGGCAGATCAGGTTTACAGAGAAAAAGAGAGGCAAAAAATGATGTTCATCCACTGAATCATTACCCAAATGGCCATAATGGCCACAGCTGAGGTGAGCCAGACATTTCTTCTGATTCCCACAGGGGGATAAGGTCCCAAGGTTTTGAGCCACCCTCTTCCTCTTTCTCAGATCGCAAGCGAGGAGCTGTATGGGAAGTGGAGCCACCAGGACACTCACTCAACCACAAGGGATCCTGGCACTTACAGGTGAGCATTTAGTCATTGAGCCCTCATGCCAGTCCCTCTCACGGAGTTTTTCTTGTTTGTTTGTTTGTTAGTTAGTTTGTTAAGGCTTATTTATTTTTATTGCAAAGTCAGATTTACAGAGAGGAGAAGAGACAGAGAAGATCTTCCGTCCATTGATTCACTCCCCAAGAGACTGCCACGGCTAGAACTGAGCCAATTATCCAAAGCTAGCAGCCAGAAGCCTCCTCCAGGTCTCCCATGTGGGTGCAGGGTCCCAAAACTTTGGACCATCTTTAACTGCTTTCCTAGGCCATAAGCAGAGAGGATGGGAAGCAGGGCTAACAGGATTAGAACCAACGCCCATATGGGATCCTGGCACATTCAAGGCAAAGACTTTAGCCACTAGGCTACCATACTGAACCCTCTCTCAAAAGTTTTAAACTCTAAAGTTTAATTCATATTAGAGTGCCTACACTGAAACTAGACATTTAACAGATTTACTCTATGTGTACCTCTTGTCTGGTTTGAAGACCAGATGAATTTCTGTCTCTAACTAAACTATTCATACTATATAAAATAAAAGGCAGCAGATGAGGCTCAGCTGCCTGGTTCCACTCACATGGAAACCCAGACTGAGTTCCTGACTCCTGGATGCGGCTGCGCCCTGTGCTAGGAACTGCAGACGTGTGGGCAGTGATCAGCGGAAGGGAGGTCTCCCTGTTGGATTCTCTGCCACTCAAATAAATTACAAATAAGTCACACTGGGTTAAGAATAAACACAGCAACACTCTCAGCAGCAATCATGGAAAGGAAGAAACAAACTTTCACATCATTTTACTGAACTAAAATGATTCATAATTTAATTTTTAAAATCTGTATTCTTATTCAAAAGTGAAATGAGAAGAGCTCTTCCATCCACAGGAGCTTCATCCAGGTCTTCCATATAGGCGACAAGGGCTCAAGAACCTGTGCCATCTTCTGGTGATTGTCCCAGGCCATCAGCAGGGGTTGATCGGAGTAGAACAGCCAGGACCTGAACAGTGGGCTGGCAGCTGTGCAGGCAGCAGCTCTACTCATCACAAAACCAACTCAGTCTCACATCATTACAAAAGCTCTCCACAAAAGCAAGATTCTTTTTACTGAATATGCATGTATGTGTACATTTTAAAACTCAAAGCAACAAGCATGGAAGAGACAGACATGTTTCTTCCATCCAGTGGTCCACTCCCCAGATGGCCACAATGGCCAGGCTAAAGCCAGAAGCTGGAACTCCGTCTGGGCCTCCACATGGGTGCAGGGATCTAAGGAACTGGGCCATCTTCAATTTTTCCCCTCAGGTCATTCTCAGGCAGCTGGATGAAGGCAGAGCAGTCAGGACTCACACTGGCAACATAGGCAGCAATTCCATCCACAACACCACACAGGCCTCAAGAAGCAAGTTTCTACTTCACTTCCCACTGACCTTCTTCCTCATTATACTAGAACATATGATCCATCAAAAACATAAGGAAAACAAAGACCTGCAACACAGGACAAAGCAAAAGCAAAGCCCCAGAGGTTCTAGGCTACTAGCTAACCTTAAAAACAGCTGGTCTGGAGTGAGCAACAAAGATAACTCAGGAAACAGCAACATGGCCATGTGGGATGTCAGCACTACAGATGGTAGATTAGTACACTGCGCCACAACAGTAGCTCTCACATACACTTTAACCAGAATATTAACAGAAACTCTTTTTACTACTTATATCTAGAAAACCACTCATCCAGAAAAGGAAAAAGAGAGTGAAATTTTCAGGGAAAACAAATCACTGGAATAAGTGACTTAAACAAAATCTCAACTAAAACGTGATGATTTGGTGGCCAGCACCATGGCACAGTAGGCTAAGCTCCCACCTGTGCCGCTAGCATCCCATACAGGTATCAACTGGTATCCTGGCTGCTGCACCGCCCATCCAGCTCCTGGCTTGTGGCTACGAAGGCAATAAAGGACGTATCAAGTCCTTGGTACCCTGCATTCAGGCTGGAGACCCAGAAGGACTGGCTCAGCCCCAGCTATTAGGATCATTTGGTAAATTTGATGATGGATGGAGGATCTCTGTCTCTCCTTCTCTCTGCACTACTCTTTCCAATAAAAATAAGTGAATCTTAAATATAGAGAGATCCAGGGCCTGGTAGAATGGCTCATTGGCTAAATCCTCACCTTGCAAGCACCAAGATCCCATAGAGCTTACAGTTCCAGGTTCTAGCTGCTATACTTGGCATCCAATTCCCTGCTTCTCTTTCCCTCCCTTCCACTCCTTACAAGAGATTGGTAAGATGTCTTAAAAGGAATTAAAAATACCAAGCATGAGCTTACTCAAAAGCAGAGAAATAAACTGACGGAAGCCCAACAATGTGGACTGGGCCTCCTCAGGTGCTGAGGCCTGTGCAATGTTTGGACAGTGTGCCCCACTGCACAGTTCATCTGGGCCAGCTGGGGACATCAAGTGCCACATCAGGAAATGCAAAGCAGAACAGATCAGATCATTCTCCTGGCCAAGCTTGCACCAAGTACCCGGGTCTCTGGATGCACTAAGGTGGACTTGGGCAGCCAGCGGATCTGGAAAAGATCTTCTCAACCCTGATGCAATAAAGCTAACAATGTGTCAGAACTGCCCAAACCACTCAAGCAACACTCTGGGAATGTTCTTCCTCACATCGGGGTCTCTAAGGTGTCATCAAAAGGCCATCTCCTATCCCCGGGAGCTGATGCAGTTCGACAGCAAGGAGCGGCCCCCTCCACTCCGACACCTCACTTCCATCAGTGGACAGATCAACAAAACAGAAAATCAGCCAAGAAACAACAGGGCTAATCTGCACTATGGACTAACAGAACTTCAATGCCATCTGAGAGAACTCATTCCACACCTCCAGAAACCATCCTTTTCATCAGTACCTTGAACTTTCTTATCATGGTTCACTACTGAGATATAAAGCAAAAGTCTCAATATTTTTTTTAAATGAAACCATATCATTTCTCTTTTCTGATTACATTCTGATCACAATCTAATTCAGTTAGAAATTAATGACTTACAAATATCTAAAAGATATGTAAACTCACACATGACTTAACAAATTGCTCCTAAGCAAAGAGCCACAGAAGAAATCAAGGAGAATCAAAAGCTTCCTGTGAACAAATGGAGACAGCACAATGCATCAGAATTGAAGGGACACAACAACAGCAGTGCTGACAGGGACATTTGGGGCGGTCAGTGCTTATACTAAGAAATGGAAAGGCATCAGATAAACGGCATCAAGGCAAAAGACAAACAACACAAACCACAAAATTACTAGGAGGAAAGAAATTAGACAATAAACAAAATAGAAAAAAAGATAAAAGATCAATGAAGAACACATTTACTGAAAACTAAGCAACACTGATATATCACTAACCCAAATAAGAAAAAAAGGAAAGAGAGAGAGAATGGGAGAGAGAGAGAAAGGAAAAAAGGAAGGACGGCCCCAAGGACAGAAGTGGAGCAGGCCTTGCAGGACAGCGTGAACCCGAGGCACCTGTGCCCACTCTACACAGAGACCACACTGAGTGCTAGACCCCAGCTTCCCTCTCATCTCTGCACCAAGGACTCCAGCCCTCCCAGAAAACAACACACAAAGCACAAAGCCACAGCCTGCCATGATGACCCCCACCCTGAGGGCGAAGCCACCACCTGAGCTTCTCCACCCAGAATGCAGGACTAAGCTGCCACCTGAGCTCCTGGATCCGATGCCTAGGGCAAAGAAACCTCATGCCTTTCATGGACCATGCCAATGACCAAGCTGCCACCAGCCCTCCCAGACAACACACAAAAGGGCCAAGGCACTGCCTGCCCTCCAGGAACACTCACCAAGGACCAAGCCACCGCCTGCCTCCTGGACCCTGCACCTAGGGACAAGCCACTACCTGCCCTCCTAGACCCCACGCAGATGGCCAAGCTGCAATCTCGCCTCCTGGAATCCTCACTGAGTGCTAAGCCATGGCCCATCCTCCTAAACCCTGCAGGCAGGCAAGCAGCCACCTCCACTCCTGCACCATTGTGATGGAGATGGCCAAACTACCCTTGCCCTAGGGGACAAGCTTCCACCTGCGCTCCCACACACAGGTGCTAAGGCCAAGCTGCCGCCTCCCCTTCCTGGATCACTAGAACTTGGGGGTTCTTACCTTGTAGGTGTCCGTGTTTTCAGTAACAGGTCGGATGGTGCTGATGAAGCCCAGTGGGTCTATCAAGTCCTGCAGCGAGGCTCAGAGACCAGGCACTCTGGGGGCGGCACCAACTCGCACATAGCTGGCTCCATGTCCACCATGGCAGCCACCGCGAGACCCTCCCCAGGTGGGGGGCAGGTGGACAGCAGGCAGGATGATTTTCAGCTGGAGTCCACGAGCCCTTACGTCCTCTCCCGGAGCCTGCTGCACATCTTCGGCAAGAGAACAGTTCCACTCTGGAGAACCCAGTGACTTGTCCTCTTTCTCCACTGGCTCTTCACTGACTGAGTGTGCGAGGCCGCAGCATCTCGCAGGAAGTGACCAAGCGGCCAATCCCTCCGCGTCAGCACCACGCAGGATTCCTCCGCTGGATGCCCCGCCGCCCTTGGGGAACCTTTTCTTCCTCCTCCTGGACACCAGGGCGCCCTGCTGTGCTTCCTCTCCTCACCCTGGGAAGTTCTGTGTGGTCAGATGGGGATGGGGGCTCCTTGCTGCACTGGGCTCTGGAGGCCCACTTAGAGACATGCAATTTTAGGTTTTGACTGCTGTACAAATAAAATGTGATCTATCAGTTTTGACATATTTCATGTTGGTTTTGAAAAACTGTACACTGTATTTGTCTTTTAAGAAACTTCTTCCATGGTTCTTATTGTTTCATTTATTCATTCAACAAAAATCTCTCAGAATTTTTCTTTGGATCGAGAACTCTATGTGGCAACCAAGGCACAGGCGCTTTGAAAATAATTAATTTGTAAGGAGTTCAGGTGAAAGCCTAATTTTTTAAATGGATGAACGATTAAAAATGAAATAGAGTTATTGCCATGTTGGTGCAAGGAGATTAGATGATCATGTGAAAATTACCTGAAAATGAGTTGAACAGCTATGCTATCTTGTGAATTCTTTCAACATGTTTAAAAGTAAATTCTAGTTTTAAGTTTATTGTAAACGGAGAGGCAGAGAAGGAGAGAAAGAGAGACGGAGCGAGAGCCAAATTCTAAATAACATTGCAAATACCTACACTACTATAGGCTACATCAGTCAAACACCAGGAGCCACGCGCTCAAGTCCATTTTCCCATGTGGGTGGCAATGAATAGGCTATGTGAGCTATAACCTGTAGGCTTCCGTTATCAGAAAGCCAGGTTTGGCACTCCACCATGGCATGAAGGTGTCCAAGGCAGTATCTTCACCATTTGACTAATGTCTACCTCCCTGAAAGAATTACTATCATGCGAAGAAATGGTAGGTCCCACTTGAAACCAAAAGAGATTCCTTGAGAATTTAGAGGGAGAGGAAGAGGTAGTAAGTAGTGAATGAATTTTGACAAAAGAACCAGCATAGACTTGAAAAATGCTTTTGGGAAGATGGGAGAAATTAAGGTTGATGACAACAGCTGTCCAAACTAGCATCATTACAGAAATAATTAAGGGGAAATAGTTGGAAATATTTAACATGTAGAAATGCATGGATATATGCATTGGTGCATGAAAGCAAGGAAAAAAAATAAAAGCATTATTATTTCATATCAGGTTACACACTACGGTGCAGAATTTCATTATAGTTCATAGAAAAACAACGAGAATCTGTTTTGATTATTGTGTCAGGGGGTGTTAGCAATAGTGAAGTTTGACATTTTTGCGTCATAATAGTGGAGATTGTGACAGGATTAAATGGGGACCAAGAGAGCTGTCTAGATTCCAGATATGGATTATGGAGTTATCAACTGCGATCACAATTAAATTTGAAAAATAATAGAGGGAGCAGATGCTAAGGCAAGAAAAATCCTTATCAAAGAAATGGTCATCTGGAGGAGAAAAATGTTCTTTAGAATAGGTGAGCTCTTACTTGACAGTGGAAAAAATTGTTTTGAATAGAAAATTATGGAGGATAACACAACAATATAGCATTATGAAGCACAGGCTAAAAACACTCAGTGCTTTCAAGTGCTAAGTAAAATCAAATAACACAGTGGCCAAACATTTGCCCATCAATATGGAATGTGAGAGGAAAGTAACTGTGTCTCCTGGAGTAGATTCAGTAGAGTCATGCACATAGTCAAAGGCAATTTATAATACATAGAACTGGGCCTGGATGATAGAGCAATGGTTAAGGTCCCCACCTTGAACCTATCGGGATCCCATATGGGCGCCGGTTCTAATCCCGGCAGCTCCACTTCCCATTCCACTGTCCCTGTTGTGGCCTGGGAAAGCAGTCGAGGACGGCCCAATGCTTTGGGACCCTGCACCTGCCTGGGACACTTGGAAAGAGGTTGTTGGCTCCTGGCTTCGGATCAGTGCAGCACCAGCCGTTGCCACCACTTGGGGAGTGAATGACCGACTGAAACATCTTCCTCACTGGCTCTCCTCCTCCTCTCTGTGCATCTGCCTTTCCAAGAAAATAAATAAATCTTTAAAGAAATAGATAGAACTTAGGGGAAGATTAACAAGAGAAAGCATGAATATAAGTATGTATTTTTAAAGTACAGAGAGAAAAGGAGAGTCATAAAACAAAAGATGACTTCTCTTCACTCCTGGCTCATTCACTGTCCAAATGAGCCATGCGTTTTTTCTGGGATACCCACACAGGTGCCAGGGATCCAGGCTCCCCAGCTGGCAGCCTGAAGGCAAGTGAGGCAGCTGGGACTCAAACTGCCACTCTTATGAATGCTGGTGGTGTAAGCCATGGTTTCCCCCACTGCACCACAGCAGCATTCCCATGCTGCACGAATTCTAACCACCACACAAACCAAAGGAAATGTTTAGGTACAACCATGCACATCGAAAGCAATCTTCATAGCTGTGCAGATCATACTAACAAATATCTCAAAACTATCCAACTTCAACATGAATCATGCTGCTTTCAAACATTTGTGGAATGTGGAATAATATGGGAAAATTCTGCTTGGTTTAACAAGTCACATTTCCATGAACTTACTGCAGACTTCTCATACACATTGACTTTAGAGTTTTTGGACAAAATTGCAGTTATTTTTCAATTCATTTTATCCCTGAACTTTTGCAAAAGATTTATTTATTTTTTGGAAAGGCAGATGTGTAGAGAGGAGGAGAGACAGACAAGAAGATGTTTCCTTTGATGATTCACTCCCCAAGCAGCTGCAACAACCAGAGTTGCACTAATCCAAAGCCAGGGGCCTGGGGCCTCTTCTGGGTCACCCACACAGGTGCAAGACTGGAAGGCTTTGGGTTGTCCTCCACTGCTTTCCCAGGTCACAAGCAGGGAGCTGGGTGGGAAGCGGGCCTCCACGATTAGAACTGGCGCCCATATGGGATCCTGGTGGGTTTAAGGGGAGGACCTTAACCACTACACCCAAAACTAAATCAATCTTCACAAAAAGCTTCTGCCCTTCCCTTCAAAGACATGCAAATAAAAGGAATAAACTCAATCACCAATTCATTGCCATTGTTCATACATACCTTAGAGATGTGTCCAGATGTTGCCTGTCTCTGTGTGTATTCTGCAATGCTCTTTACACAGGCCTGGAAGGAAGGCAAGACAAGGAATTTAGCCACTAGACTAACACGGTGGGCCCATGGTTTATGTCTTAAAAAACTTTTCAGTAATGTGGACCAGGCCTAAGCCAAAAGAGTCTGGGTCTCCCCTGTGAGTACAAGAGCCCAAAGATTAGGGCCATCCTCTCCTGCTCCCACAGGCTATCAGCACAGAGCTGGATCCTAAGTGGAACTGCCAGGATACACATCACACCCATAGGGGATGTAAGCTGTTCTGGGCAACAGCATCACTTACTGCCAGTCCCCTACTTTGTCTTTAAACTCTTTTTCTTTTCTTTTTTTTTTTTGACAAAAAGTGATGGAGAAGATACAGAGAAAAGGGAATCCTTGCACACTGTTCATGGGATTATACATAAAACAGTAGAGAGGTTCCTCAAAAACTGGAAACTAGGATTACCATATGATCTAGCAATTCCACTAACTGGCAAGATTCCAAAGAGAAATGAAATTCATCCGTCGAGCTGTCTGCACTCCGCAAGTTCCAAGAAATCAAAACAACCTAAGGCTCCCTGTACTGATGAACGTCTAAAGAAAATGGGTGTGTCAACATGGAAATGTAACTCAGACATGAAAGGATCACATTTGTCCTTTACAACACCTTGACTAAACCGCAGGTGACAACATCAACCAAAGCACCGTAAGATAAATATCACATAATTTCACTCACATGTTGACTTAAAAAACAGAAAGCTTATAAAAGCTAAAAAATATATACTTGCGCTTACCAAACACTGGGTGGCAAGTGGGGAGGGAAGGATGGGCAAAGGTGGGTTCATAGACACTGGATTAGAGCTAGGTGGCAGGAGGTTTTGGGTTCCACCATACAATATGGTGATTATAAAATCCTTCTCTCTCAGCCGGGCAGTGTGTTCCAGCTGCCGAAGTCCTCGCCTTGAACACACTGGGATCTCATATGGGTGCCGGTTCTAATCCCTGCAGCTCCACTTCCCATCCAGCTCGCTGTTTGTGGCCTGGGAAAGCAGTGGAGGAAGGTCCAAGGCCTTGGGACCCTGCACCCGTGTGGGATACCTGGAAGAAGTTCCTGGATCCTGGCTTTGGATCGGCATAGCATCGGCCATTGCACTCACTTGGGAAGTGAATCATCGGACAGAAGATCTTCCTCTCTTGTCTCTCCTCCTCTCTGTATATCTGACTTTCCAATAAATAAACAAATCTTAAAAATCCTTCTCTCTCACTTGCTCTGTCTCCCTGTAACTCTCCCTTCTACACAAAAATAAATAAATCTTTACTATTTATTTGTAAAACTTTTCTGAAACAATTCAGAAGACTTCCCCTGCCCTCATTTTACCATGGATTTTTTGCATAGAAAGCTGAATGCCAAAGTACTCATGCTGTTTAGCTGTTTCTGATTGGCACTGACTAAATACTGCATGCAAATGAGAGGATACCGTCATCTTACCTTACACACAAACTCTTCCAATCTTTCCATAGCATGATGGGCTTGCAGGAGATGGGACATGCCCATAAACCCCTCATCTTCATGGGAAACTTCTTCACTGCACTCATGTTCCCCAGAGCTCTGTAAGGAAACCAGAGAAACGGTGACAGAATGAGAATCAAATGATACAATAAACACTTTTTCCCCCTTTCTGCAGATCATAATTCAACTCTTTTTTTAAGATTTATTTTTATTGGAAAATCAGATAGAAAGGAGGAGAAACAAGAAGCTCTTCCCTCTGCTGGTTCACTGCCCAAGCAGCTGCAACAGACTAAAGAAACACTAGAGAACCCAACAATGACCCAAGCATGCCTTTTATAAACTTGCAGATGCAATGCAACTGGGAAAGGGCAGGCTTTTATGATAAATGATACTGCAGTAATTGAACAGTAACAAAAAATGAAAAACACATAAACACTTTAAACTCCTACACCAATACTTTGTAGGAAAATTAAAACAGCTCATTAACTTAAAATGTAAAATGAAAAACCATGAAATTTTTACTCCATGAAAAAAAACACCCAAAAATGAAAAAAACCTCCCTCAGGAAACGCATGTGAAACCTTTAGGACCAAGAGGGAGGGTCTGACAAGTGGTCTGACATGACACCAAAAGACCAATAAATGACAAGACAAACTGGTGAAATAGACTTCATGAATATTAGCTTTTTTTTCATAGACACTGTTAAGTTGAAAAAAAGTAAGTTTCAGCCTGGGAGACGAATATCTGCATGTCACTAAGCAGCCAGGAATAGCCTTTAAACTATACACACACACACACACAAATGGAACAGCACCAAACAATCCAACTAAACAGAAAATGATAGGTACAAACACCTTATTCAAGAGGATAGAATGACAGAGACAATGAAAAAATGCTTGTAAATGCACATTAAAACTACAACTACACAGTACTGCAAACCTCAAAATCAACAAAACAAAAGACAAAAAGGAAAATGACTTCTGGCATGACAGAATGAAGCACTCCATTTGCTTATCACAAGATAAACTGCTGAAAACTATATTTTAAAAATATGCATTTTAGTATATATATGTGATTAAAAAGGTTTATATTTTTTATCTGTAATATATATACATATATTTTATGTATATACCATTTTTAATCACTTAGGGGCTGGCATGGTGGTGTAGCATCCTAATCCTCATCTATCATGTGGCATCCCATATGGGTGTTGGTTCATGTCCCAGCTGCATCAATTCCAAACCAGTTCCCTGCCTAGGAAAGCAGCAGAGGATGGCTTAAATCCTTGGGCCTCTGGACCCACATGGGAGACCAGGAAAAAGCTCTAGGCTCCAAGTTTCGGATCAGCTCAGCTCTGGCATTACAGCCACTTAGGGAGTGAACCAGCAGACTGAATATCCCTCTTTCTAATCTTCTTTTTATAAAATCTGTCTTTTAAATAAATCAATCTCAGGGTGAGGGGAGAACTTTGGAAAGTGATTCTAAAAACAAACAGCAAAACAAGAAACCTCCATTCAAGAATGTTACCATACAGAAAAGTGCAGCTTCCATGGTCTGACCATGGAGTGCAAGTGTCAAAGCTGAGTGTCTCAGACAGAGCGGTGGACAGCACATCTAGGTGCCCATGGAGGATATGACAATCCATCGGAACCTGCAAAGGACACCTCGTACCACTACAGAGGACAGAGGACAGAACAAATCGATCAACTATCCCTCCTCAGGTGCTGAGGCCTGTGCAATGTTTGGACAGTGTGCCCCACTGCACAGTTCATCTAGGCCAGCTGGGGACATCAAGTGCCACATCAGGAAATGGAAAGCAAAACAGATCAGATCATTCTCCTGGCCAAGCTTGCACCAAGGACCCAGGTCTCTGGATACACTAAGGTGGACTTGCTCAGCCAGCGGATCTGGAAAAGATCTTCTCAACCCTGATGCAATAAAGCTAACAATGTGTCAGAACTGCCCAAACCACTCAAGCAACACTCTGGGAATGTTCTTCCTCACATCGGGGTCTCTAAGGTGTCATCAAAAGGCCATCTCCTATCCCCGGGAGCTGATGCAGTTCAACAGCAAGGAGCGGCCCCCTCCACTCTGACACCTCACTTCCATCAGTGGACAGATCAACAAAACAGAAAATCAGCCAAGAAACAACAGGGCTAATCTGCACTATGGACTAACAGAACTTCATTGCCATCTGAGAGAACTCATTCCACACCTCCAGAAACCATCCTTTTCATCAGTACATTGAACTTCCTTATCATGGTTCACTGCTAAGATATAAAGCAAAAGTCTCAATAATTTTTTTTTAAAAATGAAACCATATCATTTCTCTTTTCTGATTACATTCTGATCACAATCTAATTCAGTTAGAAATTAACGACTTACAAATATCTAAAAGATATGTAAACTCACACATGACTTAACAAATTGCTCCTAAGCAAAGAGCCACAGAAGAAATCAAGGAGAATCAAAAGCTTCCTGTAAACAAATGGAGATAGCACAATGCATCAGAATTGAAGGGACACAACAACAGCAGTGCTGACAGGGACATTTGGGGCGGTCAGTGCTTATACTAAGAAATGGAAAGGCATCAGATAAACGGCATCAAGGCAAAAGACAAACAACACAAACCACAAAATTACTAGGAGGAAAGAAATTAGACAATAAACAAAATAGAAAAAAAGATAAAAGATCAATGAAGAACAGATTTATTGAAAACTAAGTAACACTGATACATCACTAACTCAAATAAGAAAAAAGAGAAAGAGAGAGACAAAGAGACAGAGACAGAGAGAGAGAGAGAGAAAAGAGAGGAGGGGAGGGGAGGGGAGGGGAGGGAAATGAAGGGAGTGGGGAAGGAGGAAGGGAGGGAGGAGACAGTCCTAATTAAAGATGAAAAGATGTAACAGTGTAAACCACATAAGCAAGAAGAATTTTCAGGAATAACAACAGCTAATCAACAACGAATAAAATGTTGAAGAACTGAGCCATGAAGATGCAGAAAACCTAAACAGACCCACAAACAAATCACATCAATAAGCAAAAGATTTAATCGTGAACAGCTGAAAGATCAGGGGGCAAATATTGCAAGGAGTGCAAATCAGAGAAAGGAGAATGTTGGTTTTCATTTGAAGCAGTTAAGTGTTGTCAAAGTAACAAAAATTCAAGTTAAAATCAAGGAGGTGGGCAAGCATTGTGGCACAGCACATTTAGTTGCCAACTGCTGTACTGGCATCCCATATGAGCACCAGTTCAAACACTTGCTGCTCCGTTTTTTAAATAAAACATTCATTTGTTTGCTTGCTTGCTTTTATTGTAAAGTCAGATATATATATAGAGAGAAGCAGAGACAGAAAGGAAGATCTTCTGTCCAACGATTTACTCCCTAATTGAATGTAACCACATGAGCTGTGCCCATCCGAAGCCAGGAGCCTGAGGAACTCGCATGTGGGTACAACATTCCAAGGCCTTGGGTCATCCTCGACTACTTTCCCAGGTCACAATCAGGGAGCTGGATGGGATGCAGGGCTGCTGGGATTAGAACTGGCACCCATATAGGATCCCCGCGTGATCAACGGAAGACTTTAGACGCTAGGCCATCATGCCATGCCCTGTTGCTCCCATTTTAATCCTTCTTCCTGCTAAATGTGCCTGGGAAAGCAGTGGAGGATGGCCCTAGTGCCTGATCTCCTGCACTCCTGTGCCTCTAAAATCAACAAATCTTTTTATTTTTTAAAGGGAAGGGCATCGAGAGACAGAGACCAGCACCATGGCTCAATGGCTAAATCCTCACCTTTAATGTGCCAGGATCACAGAAGTGGTTCCATTCACATCATGGCTGTTCAGCTTCCCTTCCAGTGCCTTGCTTATGGCCTTGGAAAGCAATCATTATTTCTTTTTATTTTAATCCTGCACCAACATGGAAGACTTGGAAGAAGCTCTTGGCTTCGGATCAGCTCAGCCCTCGCTGCTGCAGGCACCTGGGCACTGAACAAGCTGATAAAAACTGCTCTGGTTATCTCTCCATCTCTCTGGAACTCTCAGTCTTTGAAAAAAAAAAACTGTATATTCATGTGGGTAGTGGTTGCACAGGCAATGTGTGAAGCATTAATGAACTGTGCCTTTAAAATGTGTTTCCTGCACCTAAATTACACATCACAGTGAAAGGAAAATAGCAACCTCACAACTACATTTAGGGAACCAATTCCTTTACAGTACAAACTAAGCTAACTCAACGTTGACCTGCCTTTTATCTGTATTGGAAATGTTCTCTGAAGGAAAAAACAAACAAACAAACATGTAAAGGGGTACCCTCAAAACATGCAGAAGATCCCATAAGGGTGAAGCAGGTTAAGCGGCACTGGCATTCCAAATGGACACCTGTTGAAATCCCAGCTGCTCAACTTCCAATCCAGCTCCTCGCTAATACACCTGAAAGAGCAATGAAGGATGACTGAGTGCGTGGGCCTTGCCACCCACAGGGACATACAGATGGGAGCTCCTGGCTGCTGGCTTCCGTATGGCCCAGCTCTAGGCATTGTAGCTATCTGGGAAGTAACTGAGCACTGAGAAATATCCCTCTGCCTCTTTTCTCTGAAACTCTTTCAAATACATAAACAATGTTTAACAACAAAAATACTCCAGGAAACCATCAAAGAGATTTACCTGTTAGTCAGTGCATTTTTTTTTTTAGTCCCCTATGTATCTAAATTAGAGATATTTCTTCCATAGTCTTCCCTTTTTAACAAAAGAAACCAGGTTTCTCAAGATGGACTGAAACAGTTTGAATAAAAATGTTATAAACAGCTGTAAAATTGGTCTGATCAGGCGATCTTTTTTTTTTTTTTAAGATTTATTTGTCTATTGGAAAGTCAGATATACAGAGAGGAGAGACAGGGAGGAAGATCTTCCGTCCAATGATTCACTCCCCAAGTGAGCGCAACGGACGATGTTATGCCGATCCAAAGCCAGGATCCAGGAACTTCCTCTGGGTCTCCTACATGCGTGCAGGGTCCCAAAGCTTTGGGCCATCCTCGACTGCTTTCCCAGGCCACAAGCAGGGAACTGGATGGGAAGTGGAGCTGCCAGGATTAGAACTG